TACTTATTTGTGCCGTCTGCATCATTTTCTTGCCCGGAACCGATCCTACGACGTCTCGCCTAAGAAACCCGCTCCCTACCCGTTGCGCTCTACTACCACGTTTCAGCATGACTCCATACATAAATGTAAGACGCTTCCACGTTTCCTCGCGATAGCATGTGAAACGACCATGCGGGGATAAAACCCTCCATAACTCCGTTCAGAGAATCGTTCCGCAAATTTTGAAGACAGTTCGAGTTCACCGTCCCAAGACGCGTACAACGGTGTGCAGCTCATTGGAAATGGCCAGGCTGACCTGTTGACCTTTCCTGGTGAGAAGAGAAGGAGGTCCAGGGTAGCTGATCTGATCCGATCGAGTCAAAGCCATGGTTTTAAATGCCTCGAGTGGTTCTTGACAGCACAGCTCCCCACACTATCGGAAAGACAAAAAGAAACAAAAAAAAACAGAAACATAAGTTCAAACTATTCAAAGAACGGGTTACGTATACAACGGAAAACGAAAAAAAGGTTTAACAAGATGAAATGAAAAGCGACGAACTAAGAACCCAAGCTCAAGTAAAGCTTTTCTCACCAAAAGACGAGGGAAAGTACTTCAAGACCAACTAACCGCAGTGTACACGACGTATGTGGGTTTCGTAGTCGTCATCAGAAACGCCTTCCAATGGTAGCTTCTGACAAACGTTGTTCTCGCCATAACTGAAACCAGTGATGATTAAAGGTATTAAAACTGAACAATTCTAATCGACCAACGTAAGGCGTTTTATCCGAAAAGGTGCGAAGTACCATTAAGTGAGCCAGGAGACTGAGTATCCGGCCTAGAGGTCAGTCTAAGGGAATGAGCTTTGAAGTGGCAAACCTAGTCTTTTTTGCAAGAACTCGCTTCTTTCAGTGTCCATTGGTGCTCTCCACTGGGATATCCCGGGTTCACAGAACCCTCACTCCTAACTCACGAATCAAGGAATCAGAAAAATGGAATGCAAATAGAACTGTGCCATTTTGTAGCTTTACCGAGTTTACAGGACTTCACCAAGTTGCTTGGAATGATGATAAAGGTTTACAAAATGCTCTTTCCCAACCCTAGTGGACGGTGCCGATCAAGCTCCCATAAATCAAAACTGTTAAGGTGAAAGACAAACCCCGTGACTGCATACTGCAGGTACTGGCGTTCGATTACGAACCTGTAGAAGCTAAGTGACTTCAAAGAAACGGAAAGCAAATGGCCTAGGTAAGGACCTGAAGGCTGCTCCGAACGTTTTCCGAACCTGCCCGTTTTAAGCCAGGAAAAAGCAATAGCCTGCCGCGTCTGGCTCACTCCGGCTCTCCGCGTCATCTAATCTCATTACTATCTAACAGTGAAAGAAATCCCGGTGAAAACGCAAAAACTTGACAGAAAATAATCCTTGACTGTCAGTGGGCGGTACAACTAGGAAGATGCCAGAACTGCCACTTATGAGAGCTGGGATCACTTACGTTAAGCCGCAAAGAACACTTCTAGGGAATGTGGCTCACTCCTTGAATAAGGAAGGACCCAGGGAGTGGTTGAGCGCGAAGACTTTTTTAAGAATAACCAGGGTACGAAGGTGGGAACAGACCAGAACACTGAGAATTCGTTGAAAATTCATTTCCATTTTCTGATAAGATGGCTGATTAGCAGTAACACTAGTGCAAATACTTGAAGGAAAGGCGGCCGGTGACCGAAAAAAAAGAAGAAAACGTTAGGTTTCGCTATCTCCTCTAATCTCATTACCATTTTCTTTCATTAAGATTATTGGACGAGGAGCCTCAGAAGAGCTTATTGGCCAAATTCTACATAAGATTAAGGACCGCTATCACGACAAAGAATTTCTGCGGTCAACAGACTTTGTAAATACATTTGACAAACGGATTAAAAAGCGAATTTCGAAAAATACTGACTGGCAAATGTACGGATCCTCCTTCTTTTGTCGTGGACTACACGTAAATGCCGGGCAAAATGTGCCTGATCATGGAATTTTAAGCGTGGAAGGCATAGTTCGCATTCCCTAAAGCATGGAATTGAAAGCAAAACAAATTGTGAAAAACAAAAAATGCTTTAAAAGTTGTTGATAAACTTCCTGAATTAGTAATGGTAATAGAGAAACAAACCTCGGATATAATGAACCACATTGTGAAGAAAAATGTCGTGTGTATCGTGTAGTATCTGCCGCCATTCATCAGCAGCCAGGAAGTGGGTCGAATCCGCCGGACATTCAGAAGTACTCACGACAACAACGAGGCTTCCACGTCGCGCGCGGCTCCGCGACAACTCGTCCGTCGCTGCCACACGGCCGCCTTCGCCCACCAAGCTGCTGCCGCACGCTTCGACCTAATGACGTGGCTCGCTTTAGCATCTGCTTACTCGGCCAGTCTTCTATTGTACCCTTTTATCCTGCACCGAAACATCCGTGCTCTGGTCAGATCTGAAATGCGCCGCTAAAACTCGACCTGCTTTGGAAAGCGCACTAGATGTGGGGTTTGCTGTTTGGCTCATCAGAGAAAAAACTGGTTAGGCTGTGTTATTCTAGAAAGAAGACAGACTTATTGTGAATGATCGAGACAAATCCGAGGGGTGTGTCCGATAGGATTACGAGTAAGGAAGTTTGTAGAACTTTTGAAGGAAAAGATGAGACTTCATCGTTAGAGTCAACTGCATCACTCAAACCTCAGATCCTTGCTGTGTTAAAGGCAGTTGGCACGATGGTTTCCTACTTCGCCCAAAATGCTAGTAGGGAGCTATAGTGGGGAAATGGCGAAAGAACGGAGTGAAACGGTCAAAATCCAGGCGAAGAAAAAGCCTTCGTTCTCAGTGATTAGTAAAATCAATTTCGGACAGTTTCCACGTCGGCGCACACTTGCCAAATCCACCGCTAACACGAAGGTACGGCTGCATATGTGTACCCATATATGCATGCAGCATCACCGCCGCTTCATACCAATCCCTTTGCTTCATAATTTGCTCAGCAAATGAATGAATACGAGCGTCAGAAACGGTCGTCCGTTTGTGGGCGGGCGGGCAAGGAAGGCGTTTGGGACGTAAAGTTGTTGCTCAATAGGGCGTTATAGAGGTACCCTTGGAAAAGGCTCACGCGCCCAGCGGCCTGTCCGAGAGTCACGAATTCTGTAAGCAAGTTGACAAATTGCTACCACCTGTATAGCAATTTATCGTCAACTGCCTTTAGTTCCAGATCGCTGAGCCGTTGATGCATATGTTCAACTGGGTTTTGATCCTTCCGTATTTCGTTTGCATGGATGTTGGTATTTCGTCATCAAGTGTGCGTGACGTGTACATTATACTCTTTCATCACACTAGCTATCACTCACCCACTTGCACTTGCAGGCCCACAATGTCGTGCCACTGTGACAGAATGTACCTGCGCCACTGCCTGGTTTTGCTTCACGATTCACAAAAGAAGCTTCACTTTCTCAACTCGATGATCACTGGAGATGAGAAGTGGGTCCTCTACGATAACCCTGTGAGGAAGCGGCAGTGGGTCGACAAAGGAGAACAGCCAGAAGCTACCCTAAAGGCAGACTTTCAACCCAAAAGGGTTCTCCTGTCTGTTGGTGGTCCAGAAGAGGCATGGAGTACTGGGAGCTGCTGGAGAAGGGACAGACGATTGACGCTTCCACATACGTGACCCAGCTGCGGAAATTGAAAGATCACGTCGACCGTACTCGTGGAAGAATGCGGAAATCTACTTCCACCATGACAACGCCCGACCTCACACTGCAAAGGCGACCGAGGCCTGGAGAAGTAAGGAGGCTGTGTTGACCGCCTCCCCTACAGCCCTGACCTCGCTCCTTCTGACTACTGGCTGTTCAGCCACCTGCAGCGCTCTCTGGACGGAAAAAGTTCGAAACAAAGGATCAGGTCAGAAAGGCACTCGACGACTTCTTCAAGTCCCAGCCCGTCGTTCTGGAAGGATGGAATCGACAAGCTGCCTGAGCGCTGGCGTCGAGTAGTGGATGGTGATGGTGCATACCTCTAATCTTCAGGCTGGTTCGCTTTTGAGATATTTACAAAAAAGTCGGGGTTGAAAAGATATACATCAACCTAATAGCAAGAGCTAATTATTCGGGCAGTTGTAATCTGATTCACCTCGAAAGCTGACATCTCAGCACACAGGCTTGGTAGCCAGAAAAAAAGTCAGAGGGGTCGGGGCAAGAGCAGGACACATCGTTGTTCGCCCCTACAGGGGGGGGACGTATTTGGCCGCCAGGAGAAGGGGGTGGTCGTAGTTGGGCTGAGAAAAATTTATTTTCATAAGTGATTTTCTTCGTTTCCGCGACGTGTGACAAGGGGAAGGGGGAGGGGTCGTAATTGCTCATTGTTGGGAAGGGGAGGTCGTATTCACTTTCTGGCCTTTCTAGGAGTGGTGGTTGAGTTTTCGTGATTTTCCCTGTTTTCACATGCTACTGATTTATCCCACTCCCCCTACGCGCTCGCATCCATGAGCGGGTGGGACAGAGGGCCGGAGGGGGGGGGGGGTGGCATACCAACGCGTCCCCCCATCCCCTCCCCCTCCCTTCAAAAGCCGGGGGGGGAGCTCGTACGGAACTTTGACTAAAACCTCCCAACCAATGATTCATGGCTTGCCCTGCGGCAAGAGGCGGCCCAACCCAGCCACACAAATGTTCTAGGGAATCGATTGCCGAGTTGGAACATTTTACCCTTTCCGCTACCCTATTCAGGCTTGATTTTCACGGAAAGTTGTCCTCGAGACAGACTTGTCCAGGTAATGAGTCTGCCTCACTGAACACGAGTATCACGACCGTCTGGCGCGAAGAAAATCGAGCTATAGCTAGCTGATTAACTGGTCCGCGGAATCGGAAACGCTTTCTTATAGCTACAGCTATAGCTAAGCGTTTCCGATTCTACGGATTCGAAAGCCGAGTTACCAGGTAGGCTAGTTTTATGTGAATTCGGGAGCTTGAGTAGCCTAGCGCTGGTTTTGTGATGTGGCGTTCATTTGCGGGTGGCAGGCGTTTTTACGTCAAATGGAGCAATATTCGTGTTCAAGGGTCGCGCTACATCTTGAAAAGATTTCGATGATAATGTAGCCTAATGAGCTTGGGAAGCGTCTTAGAGGGTCTACAAAGGTCCCAGATCTTGCCTATGTCTCCTATCTAAGCAACCTGTCTTCACTCTAGGATCTGATAATTGGCATCAGACTATAGGAGAGCAAAAGCTTTAACGTTCACAGCGGCTGTGGGAAGTGTTTGAATAGGCCAGAACGTAGCAGAAGCCCCCGCGATCCCTAACAAAAGGCAAATGCGTGGATTCTCAAAAAAAAGAGATTTTTCAATGTCATGCGACATACCCTCTATCTTTTGCTCCCCATACTCAATTCATGTGTTCCTCCCCTATCTATAAGAACAATTGTAAGCCCAAGCATGCAGCACAGTTCGCTTTACTATGGTATTTTGAGAATATCATGGAACGCATGGGAAGGGGACCGTCTCACCAGGTATGGGTAGGGTCATAATTGGCTTGCTGGGCTCCCTACTTTAGTGTGCAAGAATGTTCGGGAAATGACGAAATAATTGCGGCACAAAAATAGCAATCCGCCACGCCCTTTGTGACTTTCCTGGGGCCTAGCCACAGAACAAGCGCTAGATCATCCACAAAGACACCCGCCCCCCCCCCCCCAGCACGAATTACAGATCGAGAACGCTTCAGGTAGCATTTTACTGCGGCCTCGGAGGAAGAGGTCTGATGTTTTCTCCAGTGACTTCTTTAGAGCTCCGACTGTGCTTTGTTCTTCAGGACGGATCATGCGGAGAAACCTGCTGAGTTAACTGGTGAATTGGCTGGGTAATCTGAATGGCAGGTTCCAACTCCTCTCATCTTGAAACCTTGGCATTGTTCGGAATGTTTTGATCTTTCTCTTCTGCCTGGAGGAATTTTAGGTGGAATTCTTTATTCTCGGCCAACGTTTCGACCCTTTCGTCGTTATCAAGGCCTAAACATGGCTCAGAGCTTTAGAGTTGCATACTACCCCACCAAAGACATTCCCCCCCTAGCATTTCTGACGTGCAAGATACCCAAGAGTTAAAAGATAAGCTCACCTCGTGTTCCACCACTACATTGTAGCGTAAAGTTACAGCTCACGTTAGTAGGTGAGCAGGTTAGTATGCGAATGGGTGCTACCGTCGTACCCACATACCCTTTTACCGGCGCACCTTTTACCAGACAGGGGAAACAGGAAGAGTTTTATCAGTACGCATCAAGGAACACCTATCTGGTAAAAGGCGCAATAGCATGTCCACGCCGTTAGGGAAACATAGAATGGAACAGCATGGTGGCGAAGATTTTGACGTCAAGTGCACGATTTTGGCCCATGAGACGGAGATTTCAGCGAGGAAAGCGCTGGAAGCGTTTTGGATTTCAGCCCGGAATCCAACAATGAACAACCGAAACGAGTGTGTTTCCCTAACGAATGATCTCCTACCGTTCATGGAGCATTGTGGATTGCATGCATGATAAGCGAAGGTGCACGTCATTGATACTACACGACGGTAGCACTCATTCGCATACTAACCTACTCACCTACTAACGTGAGCTGTAGCTTTACGCTACATTGTAGTGGTGGAACACGAGGTGAGCTTATCTTTTAACTCTTGGGTATCTTGGCGATCCTGAGATGACGTCAGAAATGCTAGAGGGGAATGTCTCTTGGTGGGGTAGTGTGCAACTCTAAAGCTTTGAGCCATGTTTAGGCCTTGACAACGACGAAAGGGTCGAAACGTTGGCCGAGAATAAAGAATTCCACCTAAAAAACCTCGAGGCAGAAGAGAAAGATCAAAACAATCTGAGTGACAGCTAGTTTTTGGAGCAGTCGCCGCGGGATCGGATTAAGGGTTTTCTCTTCTTCCGAGCAGAAGCTTCATCGCTTTGAAGAGCGAAGAATGAGAGCGCATGAGATGTTGGAACGACGAGCAGTGGCGAATTCACCATGGCGAGCATTCGCTGAATGGCGGTGGTCTTCAAAACTAACGGTTAGGACCTAATAAGACGTGCATATGAGTCTCACGTGTATGTAGGAATATGCCATGAACGTAATATTAGGTCAACCCATTCAAAGGTGAGTCGGTTTTTTCGAATGAAACAAGAGGAGAATAGATAAAAAGTAATATTTTGGCTCCATGTTAATAAATCCCTGCTTCACCA